TGCCCCTGAGCTCCGACCTGCACACGCTGAACGCGCACTGTAACCGCATCGCCAGAATCGAAGGGCTCAGCCACCTTCGGAATCTGCAGCACTTGGATCTGTCGTCAAACCAAATCCGCTGGATCGAGGGGCTGAGTTCCCTGGCGAATCTGCGCACCCTGAGCTTATCCTGTAACCTGATAACTAAAGTGGAGGGTCTGCGATATTTACTTCTGTCCCTTTAGCGACTTGTGAAGCTTTTCTAAGAGTTATGTTAGAGCTTGCTTCTGGAAAGTATGCATATTAAACGAAGATAATAGGAACTACTAGGCATATTATTATGTAAATTTTAAAAAGAGTATGTACTGTCTGTAAGCTTCATAGCAAAATCCCTTAATTTAGAAGGAAAAACTAGGTTTTACATTATGATTGTAGTTTATTATCATAACTTGTAGTTATGACTTTAAAAGGCTTACTTTGTAAGTTTTGATTTGATGAAAGCAGAGTATTCTGAAAATCTTACTATCTCGTTTTTCCCTCATTTTGTTTAGGGCTGGAAAAACTCTTTAATTTAACTATACTGAATTTGTCGTATAATCACATACGTGACCTGTCTGGTAAGTGACTTTGGCATGTGCAGTGCAATAAAAAGCATTTTCCTTGCTTTAATCTTGAAAAACTTGAGCAAATGTATTTTTAGAAGTTTCTAGTAGTTCAGCCAGTTGACTGAGTAATGCTACTGAAGGTGGCAATTGCTGCTACTCTCAGCTTTCAGGTTTGTAACATCTAGGGTTGTTCTGAACTGGAGTTTATTCTCCTGTATTTGGTGAGGCCAAGCTTGTTGCCAAAGTACTACATATTTCCAAGGTGAAAAATACAATAGTCTCTGAAGACAGTAGCAAAAGATTGGCATATTTCCTTTTTATGGGACAAAAATACAACTGTGGATATGATATCCTCTAAATCTTTTGTTGAAATGGTCAATTGTTGCTTTTAAGACTTTAAGCTGCAGAATCAAGGAAGTTTGTAATAGAACATAAAAAAGAACATTGGTAAGATTATTTTTAATGAACTGAGTTATAAGAAGGAACTTCAAGCAAAATGTTTATTTTTAGATGCTTCTTAACAGTTTGAAACTAATGTTTCTTTGATGTTAGCTCTCATAACTACCTGAAGTGTTGTTTGGTGTGGCAGTGTACCATAGATCATGAATATACATAGACAGGGATATGGAAGAGAAGTTGTTACATCATTTCCAGTTATGATGTATGATTTACTGAATGTTCTTCATCAAGATACCATTTGGTCTAAACCTGATAGTCCAGGATCAGAGCAGAAATCATTATTTTGTGGTTTTTTTCTCAAATTTTCAGGATTTCAGTGCCTTCATGGAACCAGTCATAAGATTAGCCATATTGACCTTCACAGCAATTGTATAAACAATATTAATCATTTACTTCAGTGCACAAAGGGGCTGCGCAGTTTGACGCATCTAACACTGGAAAAAAATGGAAAGGCCAATCCAGTTTGTCACACAGCAGGTATGGACCTCATGTTAGGTAGACACTTTGTGCTCTTTAGGTCAGGGATTTCCCTTGAGCCGTCAGCCACGTTCTGAAGCTTGCAAATTTGTTCATAAACTGGTCAGCCTGCAGAAGTCTAAATTCTGTCAAAATGAATTGAGAAATCTCCCACCTCCTGCCACCCTGGGCATATACTCAAAATTGTAACTCGTTGTACACTTTGGTATGCGTTGAGCCGGCAACGTGCGCTTGCAGCCCAGAAGGCCAATAACCATATCCTGGCCTGCATCAAGAGAATCATGGCCAGCAGGTCGAGGGGGGTGATTCTCCCCCTCTACTCTGCTCTCATAAGGCCCCACCTCGAGTACTGTGTCCAGTTCTGGAGCCCCCAACACAAGAGAGACATGGAGCAGCTAGAACAAGTCCAGAGAAGGGCCACCAGGATGATCCGAGGGCTGGAGCACCTCTCCTATGAGGACAGGCTGAGAGAGTTGGGGCTGTTCAGTCTGGAGAAGAGAAGGCTCCGGGGAGATCTTATAGCGGCCTTCCAGTACCTGAAGGGGCCCACAAGAAAGCTGGGGAGGGACTTTTCATAAGGGCAGTTAATGACAAGACAAGGGGAAATGGGTTTAAACTGAAAGAGGGTAGGTTTAGATTAGATATTAGGAAGAAATTCTTTACTGTGAGGGTGGTGAGACACTGGCACAGGTTGCCCAGGGAAGCTGTGGATGCCCCCTCCCTGGAAGTGTTCAAGGCCAGGCTGAATGAGGCTTTGAGCAACCTGGTCTAGTGGAAGGTGTCCCTGCTGATGGCAGGGGGGTTGGAACTAGATGATCTTTAAGGTCCCTTCCAACCCAAACCATTCTGTGATTCTATGATAAGGCTCAACTTTTCACATCTTATTTTAGGCTAAGGCAGGAGATGGACAAATAGCGATGGGAAGAGACAGTATTGCAGAAATGGAAGGGAGGAAGGAAGTATTAACATTATAAGGTTGGAGGGTGGAGAAGATATTGTGTTATATAGAAAGAGGGCAGGCATGGAAAGTAGATGGTCTTCTACAGATAGAGACCACAAGAGGAAGATCAGTATTAGGCACTATTAGCCTTTCTTCCTTTTTTCACAGCTTCAGTAAGCAGTGACAGACTATAAGATGCTCTCCAGTAATTGGCATTTTCATCAAAATAGTAGGCAGCGGTTTCACTAGGCAGCATGGAGACAAGTTGGAGGAACGTGTGTGGGTACATCACTATCAGTTGTGTTGCCTAGAGCTTCTGGTTTGGTGGTAGGTTTTTTTACACCATTTAAATGTTACACCCTGTGTTCAAACAAGTTAAACTGTAGCATCCTGTTTTGGAGCAGGTTTTGTTTGTTTTATTTGTTTGTGTATGAGAGAGGAGAAAATCTCTTATAGGAAGGTAGAAGTGGAGGATTGATGCTTTTGGGGCAGCTCAAAGATTATTTTGGAAGTATTTGAACATCAATCCATGACTCTTCATGCTTCCTAAAATACTTAAAACTCTGAAAATTTCATTGCCACCTACAAAGAGCATAACAGCAGTAATTACAACAGTACAAAATAACAACCATATCGTAAGCATGTAACTGATACAGGTGTGATATGTGTACAATTCTTAGAAAGAAACCTCAGAGATAATTGAGGAAAGTCAAATAAGGTAATGTTTTCAAAAGCACTTATGAACAAGTTTTACAAATGCATTGAGGCACCACAGAAGCAGGAACAGGAATATTAAAGATGTTCTGGATAACTTAGAAGAAAACTAGTGGAGTTTTCTGCAAGTGTTTACATACCTCTTCTAATCTACCTGTTTGGTGGCACTTTCAAAAGTAACTGTGATGTTTAGGAGCCCAAATTCTATTAATTTAAAGAAATCTAACTTTGGTGCCTTACAGTTTCATAACACCTTACTTCATTCACTAAAAGAGGATGAAGTCATCTAGGCCTTTTCAGAACTTGCCTTTCTGTTACATTTGTCAATCCTTGCACTTGATACAACTGTTCTGGTGCAGTGGGCCAATATTTAAAGGTTGTCTGTGCAGCTGCAGTTGCAGGGTGGGGAAGTCCCCATGTAGACCAGGAGTAGGCAGGCAGCTTCCCAGTTCATTTGTTTTGTAGTGTTGTCTGTTGAAAGCCCTGTGAGTTGGGGAAGGTGAAACGCTTGTAGATATACCACTAAAAATGCAATGACTAATTTAAGATGACAGGGAAAGGAAAATACACTAGACATCTTTCAGAGATTAATTTCAATTTAAATGTGGTCTTTTCCTCAAGGTTATAGAGAAACTGTTCTTCAGACGTTGCCCCAGCTAACAGCTCTAGATGGAAGAAATATTTCTGGTGAACCAGTAAACCTGGCTGAGGAAAACTGTTCAGATTTACAGGGTTTAGAAGACATGCTGGGCTGTTTGGTTTCATCTGGGTGCCCGTCATCCAGAGATCAGGTGCCATTGCTTTTGTGTATCGATTTTTAAATGGATACATTTTACCTTTATATTGCATGCAACTCATTAACGTTACAAGGGTTGTCTTTCCTTTTCACAGAACTGTGTTACCTTACCAGTGGTGACACCACATATCGACCAGGCGTTGGCTCTTTTTCGTCAACGTACGAGAATCCCAGTACAAAGTGCCATCAGCTCCTCTACAGAACTTGTCTCATCTTCGGAACCAGAGAAGGCTGAACTTGATAAAATATACAGTGAGATAAGAATTAAAAAAATAGAAGATCAAATTTCACAGATACTGCAAAAGGTAATTTTTTTAATTTTATTTTTTTTTCCCTGTGTTTACACAGCAAGTTTTGTTTGTAAAATGAGGTATCCTTCTTGATAATAACAAGAACTTGCTCAGACAGGCTGGAGCATTTCTGCTGGCACATATATACTAACTTCATGCTAATGTATATTTCATAGTCTTGAGAAATTGGGAATAAAATAAAAACAAGTCTTTAAAACTGAAGACTGCACTTCGAATTACAAAATTTCATACTAAATAAAAACCAGAGTTCTCCTAGTCCCATATCCTATCCAATCATATTACATTAGATAGAAAATTGTTTTATGTTTTCTACCCTGAAGCCATCAATATATGTAACTGAACCTGAGTAAAACATGAAATGCAGTAAAATACCTGAATTACTGAGTTGGTGAAAATTAGTTTTGCTAAGTAATAGGTAAAGTTTTGATATGTTTGTCAGGTATGTTTTTGTACCTTGTTTATGGTGTACCTTGCATGTTTGCAGAGCTTTCTTCTTTTTAAGTGCTCTATTTGTTTTACATTTTGCATCAAGCTTCTGTGCTAAAGGATTTTAAACAAACTTCAGGTATTTCAGAAAAGTACAACTACATGTTCTCAAGCATGCCGTTCTGTTGGGTTTATTTTTAGAAAAGGGAAGGGGTAGTTTGGAAGCAATTATTTACTTCTCTTTCAAAATTATTTTGTAAGTGTTACCTTTCTTAAAATAACACCTGAATAAGTGTTAGAAATTAGCCAATTAGAAATTGTAAAATGTATAGATAGAGCTTCTATCTGTTCTTAGGTATCTGATACCTCAAGAAGGGAAGCACCTCCAAATGCTCTCAAAGCTAAGAGAGACACAGATCCAACTTCTGAGAGCGAAAATGATAGTGGGAAAGAGAACAACAGAAAGGTTGCGAAAAGAAGCAAGATCCCTACCTACCGTAGAACTACCTTATCTCCGAGGTGTCATGGGAATCATCTTAAGAACAAAATAACTGACAGGTATCCCAGTGTTTGCCAGATAAAGCCAAAATTATTTAAGCTGAATATTGTCAGAGTGAACGTAGTTTGACTTGAAACATTTTTGCTGAAAGTAGTAGGTTGGGTAAATTAGCTCTTAATAATGCTGTAAAAGTTATTAGCTATTGAGGCTTCATAACAAATCTGTTGATTAGGAGAACAATTATGTCAAGTTTTTGAAGTGTTCCATTTGCCCCAAAGAACGTGTTATATTTGTCAGCTGGTCCTGCTCATAAATGTTTAATATACAAGCCCCTTTTTTCTTAATCTGCCTGTTTTTATATAACCTTCTGCATCCTTGTTTTCCTATATTAGTCCTTCATGTATTATTATGTATTACTTTAAACTTTTTGAAGTTCACTCTTTCACTCAGTTATTTCCCTATATGAGCATTTTCTGTCTTTAGGTGAAAAGGAAATTGAACTGAAGATTCCAAAATAAACACTTTCAGAATTCTAACAGCTTATATTTTCATTTTTGTTTTAAGTTGTGGAGACAGAAGAATTCTCCACAGGCAGAAGAATGGAGCCAAATTAAAAAATAAAAATAAAAGATTCATGGTGTCAGAACAGTGGTCAAGAATATAACTGTCCATATTTTGTTATGAAACCAAGGATGCCATAGTAATTTGTTTGATTTACATAGTAAATATTGGAAGTCATGATAGAAGATTATATTAATTGGAATGTATTCATTTACTGAGCCACTGCAGCTCTACAGCTACTCTGCTTCTGTAAAATTGTTTCATATCTATGTGATCATAAGATCTACTTAAGATACTATCTGAAAGCTTGAGATCTACTTAAAACTTAGAGAGTTTTTGGGTTTTTTTTACAGCTGAAGATTTGAATTTAGCTGTTTGTTTTATGATCTGCTTGCAAATTATTTCCTAGGTGGTTTTGAACTCTGTACAGAAGAGTTCATCTTATACACAGAACTGTAAAATTTTGTCCTGTAAAACTGTCTGAATCCCCTGTTATATTTAAAGTCTCCATATTCTTAAATATATCTTGATGTCCTGCTATTATAGGGAAGAGAAGAAAAGTTCCTCAAAGTATCCATGCTCCAGTCAGAGAGACTCTCATCTAAATTCATCATCGGATGCTCAAGACTTGGAAGTAGTGGGAAGAAAAGCTGAAAAATTAACTAGAAGACAGAGCAATATAGAAAAAGTAGAAGAAATTAATTCAAATGCTACAGAGGAATCAACGTACCGAGTATGCTTTGTATCATTTCAAGTTAAATATGAGTATGTCTTCACCTGAAGCCAAGCATGTGTCTGCTGGTGAAACTTTATATTTGGAGGTGACAAAAATACTTGTGTGTAGATATTGTCAGCTGGAAGGCAATTTATTTTATTTCACTTTTATGGGGGTTTTTGGCCTGGTCACTTGCACTTTCCTCTGTCATCTATAAATTCCAGAAAGACAAAAAACTCTTGTTCTACAATTATGAATTCTGTTTGTCATTTTTGGCTACATATGAATGTTTCCTAGTAAGTTGATACTTACCACATTCTTGCTAAGGTGCTGATTCAAGAACTGGATCAGGAGAAAGAAAGGAGGTGGAAAGCAGAGCAAGCAGAGAAGAAATTAATAGAGCATGTCAGAGAGCTACAGGAGCATGCAAAAGAAGAAAAGAATATTCAGAGTATGGCTGTATACACAACAGACAGGTAGGAAAACAGAGTGCTGTAGTGTAAGAATTTGGTTTCTTAAATTCGAAACATATTTATAGGCTTAAGAAATTACAACAGCTTTAAACAATATACTGGGAAAATAATGCATCAAGAAGTAGTGATAGAATTTTTCTCAGTATTACCTAATGAAATTCCTTTCTGCAGCTTTCTTCCTGTTCTTGTCTCAGAACAGTATCGGTGCGTCACTTACCTCCATTTTTAACTATTGCTTTCCAAGCAGTATATCACAATTGTACTTGTAGCTCAAGCTTTAGTAGCTGTCTCATATCATACTTTCAGCTTCCAATTCCCAGTTTCCTCTTCCACCTATACATATAGCTGGTGCAGGTCAGGTCTAATATAACATTGTATAGACTGCTCTCATCACCCCTGTAAGTTCTGAGCAGTGTCCTTTTTTTCAGAAGTTCTCCCTTCTAACAAAGCATTGGTTTTTGTCAGCTATAATTTAAGATGTCTGCTCTATTTATCTTTTTCTTAACTGTATTGTATTTATCAACAATACATTTCCTTTCCTGTAAGGAAGAAACAAGCCAAGTGCTTCCTGAGTTACCATCCATGACTCTGATTATTTCTCCTTTTTTAATGTTGTTCACTTCCCACCTTTATTTGTTATCACCTTGGATAAGAGGCTTATTATGTTCACTTCTCACTTCCCACCTTTATTTGTTATCACCTTGGCCTCTTATCCAGAGGCTTATTATGTTCACTTTCAAGATAGATCTTACATCAAAAATGTTAGAATAGATGAGGATATTTCAAAGTTTTCTGAAGAAAATTATTAGATTACAAATTGATACTATATGTTTGATTTATGTATAAAGCAAAATGATACTGGAATATCATTTCCTTAAAGACCTATCTATGAGGTTGTCTCCATCTTAGTTTCTTTTAAAATGCAGCTCCATGTAGTAATGCTAGGGTTGCAATTCTGCTTGCAATTCTGTTCCTTTTCAAGCAGTTTTACATGGCAGTGCTGAAAATACTAAACTTACACATTACTTCCGTAGTATTTCACATATTTTTAAGCAGTTTTACATGACAGTGCTGAAAATACTAAACTCAGCAAAGAACAAGATATGGTGCTACAACACTTACTAATGTCTTTTTCTGAATGTATTTGGCATAATACTAAATACTAAAATGTTTGTAATACAACTTTATTGCATTTATTCTTAGGTTAAAGGAATTGATATTGAAAGAGAGAGATGCTAAAGTAAGACTGCAAGCAGATGTCCAACAGTTGAAAAGAGAAAATGAAAGACTTACTAATGAATTAAATCAGGCAAGAAATAAAGAAGCAGAACATCAGAAGGCTGTGCAAGCTTTAGAAGAAACATTATCCAAGGTGGAGACACAGAGATTACAGCAACGAACAATAGAGGTAAATATTTTTCATAAGTAAATAATAATGATGGCAACAGGATGGCTACTATCATTCTAGATACTAAGAAACACTAGATTTTTCAAGCCTTAAATCTGTGTTTTCTGCAATAAAAGCTGGTGCAAGTAAATAATAATGATGGCAACAGGATGGCTGCTATCGTTCTAGATATTAAGAAACACTAGATTTTACAAGCCTTAAATCTGTTTTCTGAAATAAAAGCTGTTTTTTTTTCTACACAGTAGTAGTTAATAGCAAGTATCCATTTTAATTGTCAATTAATGTTTTTTATAAATTCAAATATGTCATGTGATGTGGTGTTAAGATAAAGGAGAACAAGTCCTATGTACTTAACACCACAGTAGTAGTTAATAGCAAGTATCCATTTTAATTGTCAATTGATGTTTTTTATAAATTCAAATGTCATGTGATGTGGTCTTAAGATAAAGGAGAACAAGTCCTACGTACTTAACACCGAGAGTTGGTATTTTCTGAAAATACACAGTAACAAAGACAAGTTTTTTAAATTGTTCCTGAAATCAATTAAAATCTTATTAGTGGGATGGAAATCTGGTGGTTCTGTTTGTTTTGCTGATCTAAAGAATTAGATGCTTTTAATTGCAGCCAGAACAAAACAGTAATTGCTGAGAACTTATTTTAAAGATTCTTGTTGTTTTCAGGTTTTCTTGTTTGTTTACTTGGGTTTTTGTTTTGTTTTTACAAAACTTAGAGAAACTGAATCCTAATGTAACCATGCTGAAAAGTCTGTGAACTGCTAGTTTGGTGCTCTGGGACATGTTGTCGCTTAGATACCCTGAAGGAAATCAGAACTGGGGAGTGTGCTGACAGCCAAACTGCAAGTGCTGTTCAAGTTATGGATTAGCCAGCCTCCACTTCAGGCACCTTAGTAGCTCTTCCATTTTCTTCCTTACCCATGAATATCCTGGTGTTATTATGGATCTAGAAGTGACCTTCATTTGATATCACGTATCTGCTTGTCACTTTGAAAAGTACCAAACTTAGTGATTTAAGAGAATAATGTTTTGGGTTTGGGTTTTTGGGTTGTTTGTTTTTTTTTTTTCCTGTAAGAAAGGAAATACCTTATTGGTGTATGAGGTTTTTACTTTTACTTCGAGTTTGTGGATGTGTGAGCTGACACAGACAGGATGCAGGAACAACCACAAAAACCATGGACAAAATGCAAAAAGCAAATTTACCTCTTGAACCGGGTGATCTCTGAAGCAGCACCTGGGGCAGAGGCGCGTAAGCGGGAGCGAAGGCGCTGTGGAGCTCGGTCCTTGCTAGAGAGAGAGCGAGAGATTCCAAACCTGCTTCTTTCGCCTGTGTATATCAGGGATTTTTCGCAGGCAGTAGTCTTCCACTGTGCTTTGATCTTTCTCACAGCAGGGCAGGAATCCAAGGCATGTTCAGGGTGCCCCTGAGTCTGTCCCAGGCCTGGCAGATGTTCTACTTGTCCAGCCCATAAGACTAAACAGTGATTAGCAGTGTGATGTGTGTGTTTTTGGACACCCCAGCTGCAAGTCGCTTGAGCGTATTTACAGTCCTCCCTGCCAGTCTTCTGTTATATTCCCACAGTGGAAATAAGCCATCTCTTTTGATAGCATCATCTTTATTAACTGCAAAACTTTATTCAGGAAAGGTTTTTGTTGCTGTCTTTTAAGGTCCTGTAGCAAATACTCATTAATAATCATGTTTCAAAGAATAGTCATGATGCTCTAGAAACTAAATTCTCCTTTTGAATGTGCAGATTTAATATACCTTTGGCCTATTTTATCAACTGTAAGATTAACAAAGTCTAGAATTTTTACAGAGCTTTCTCGTAGTACACGCTGGCAGTTAGCTTCAGTGGAAAATTACGGTTACTCTAGGTAGTCACTGTTTAAGGATTTCAGTCGACAGTACTAGATTATGTCTTTAAGGGATTCAAGATAAATAAGTTACTGTGCATCTAAACGAGTACACTATTTTCTGTCAGTCTTTAAATTTGCATGTATTCTCACTTGAAAATTTTGGGTTTTCTATTCTTCAATTTAGGAGAGAATTGCTTCACTTCATCCAGAAGAAAACAGGAATGCAATGGGGTGTGTCAAAACATTACTCATGAAGTGGTTTCACATGTAGAATATGAGGACTTGGCTTCATGCTCTAGCCTCACAACAATTTCCATACAACTGAAGTTCTGTATAAACTTTAGGTCCCTCTGGCATTCTCAAGCTGGGACTCATAACATGCAGCAGCACTTATGTATCTTAAGCGACATCGCTGGAGATGATAAATGTTGGAAACAATGTTGTATTTGTCAGTGCAGGACATTCCATACTGCTGTTCCTTAATTTTTTATTTTTCATTTTTACTGATTGCTCAAAAGTGAAGTTGAGGGAACAGTTGTGATGGAATTCTGAAATAAAACAGATTTGAGATTTTTTTGGTCTTTCTTTTGTGGGGGTTGGGGTTTTTTGTTTGCTTTCTTGTGAGAGTTGGAAAGTAAACTAGGTTGTCTTTGTGTATTCTATCTCTGCCATTAGGTAACTGACAGAGTAATTTTGAGTAGTCCATTAACCATTCACAGCTTTGATACTCTGGAAAGCAGAGAAATTAGAATTGTGTAAGTGCAAAATGTGGAAACCCTTTGCTTTCCTTAGGAGTACAGGTTGACAAGACAGTTATTACTGCTCACTGCTTGAGCACAAAAGGATTGAGATAAATTCTACAAGTAATGATTAGGGGTAAGAATATCTCCATTAACATCACCTCTGCTGTTTCTGTTGCATGTTCGAACTTGCAGTCTTCCTAAGTGTCTTGATTCTGAATTACAATTTCATGATTAATTAATTTTTTTTAATATCTTTTTTCCCCCCTACTTGTCAACTTGTCAGATCAGAAAAGACAGTTTTGTACGTAAAAGGCGTAAGATTACAAAGTAGAACTTTTGATAAAAGCTTGCATCAAATAGAAAAAGTGGAGTATGCCACCTGGTGTTTATACTGATTCTCCATTTTTTGTAAAATCTGTTCAACAACTTTAAACTGTTAAACTCGGAAAGATGCAGAATTTTGTAACAAGTGTTTGAAAAAAATTATGTTGAATACATCTAAAATGTTTTACTTGAAACTAATACAAGTATTACAATACAAGAGTTGATAATTGAGGAAATCATTCTTCTAATATACTTGTCCCACTTCTGGAGGACACTTTCAAGTTCTTTATAAATTAAGTAAAATTAAAACAAATGAAAGTTGCTTTTTTGTTGTTGTTACTACATGGTAAGTTAAGCTAAGACAATTTTAAACATTTAGTCTTACATTTCTGCAAGTGTAACAAAAGATATGACATTTAAAAGATTAAAAAAAATAAGTCATTTTTTAAAAACTACCAACACCAAAACTTCCTTTGTCTTGAGCGCTAGGTAACATAATAAAATTCCATAAGATTTTGTGAAAAATACTGACAGTTGTGGAGCATGCTATAAACATAATGGGCCAGGCAGACATGTATAAAACTATCATAAAGCACCTGTTCCTTTGTATTCTAGTATAAGATATGAATAATAGATTACAGTTTTAATTAATTTTTAATGAATTCTACACAGATGAAACAGGTGCAAGAAGCAGAGCTTAAAGCATCAGCAAATGAAAGAGAAGTACAGTTACTTCGAATATCCTTTCGACAACAGAAAGAGAAGGTAAAACAACTACATGAACTTCTTATACTAAGAGAGCAAGAGCAAAGGTATGGGGTCTTCTATTTTCTTTTCACAAGTTAATAGAGATGCTGCTAGTAGTGCTGAGGTGTTTTGTTTAAATGCATTCTGCCAAGTATGAGTGTGTTTTTGTTTGCTTCTTTTTAGTGGAAGAGATGGTCTTTGTAAAATGTAGATATCTTCCCACCCGTCTTCTTGCTCATTTAAGAATATTTTCATATTTTTTAGATTCCTTACTCACAAGTCCATGTAGGCAACTGTGTTCTTCTGGTCTTCCATTTGATAGGTTCTTATTATATGGCTGAACTTTTTATTTTAAATACTTGTTCTTTAATCCAGGAAATAGTTAAATAAAAATAAAATTTCATTTGCATTATTGTTGGAAGATTTGCATGTACTACAATAACACAAAGTGTTAAAAAAAACATGTCAGCTTCTACAGTCTCATGCTTCAGGGTGGGTGGCTTCATTGGCCATTTTCCTCTTTCCTTCCAAAATTTCCCTTTTTTGAGATTATTAACAAAATAAGCTGGTTACACTTGGTAAGTTTTACAGGGATACATGTATTCAAATACCCTCATGCTTCAGGGTGGGTGGCTTCATTGGCCGTTTTCCTCTTTCCTCCCAAAATTTCCCTTTTTTAAGGTTATTAACAAAATAAGCTGGTTACACTTGCTAAATTTTACAAGGATACATGTATTCAAATACTAAGATAACTGCAAGTTTAGATGAGAAGAATGTGACAGCTGTGTTTTGAGAATTTCCAATTATTAACTCATAAATCCCCAAAAGATGTAACGTGGACAGTAGATATACTTTGTGCTTTAAAGCAGATGATTGCTGCTGCATTTCAGTTTTGAGTCTGAGTAAGAAGCAACAGTTGTTGGGTGAGGGTGAACAGAATGACTGCAAAAGAGGGTATCCAGCATCTCTGATTCCCATATTTCTTCCAGATCTTTGTTAACAGCAAAGCAAACAAGTACTAAGTAACAGCCACAGAGCAACTGAATAATTTCTACAAAAGTTTGAATTAAAAAGTAAGGTTATTCCTCTGAGTGTTTTAATAGCACTCAACACTCTTTTCCTCATCCCAGGACTATTGTCATAGAAGACTGAAATCTGTCTGTGAAACTAAGGAATTTATTCATTATGTAATTTATTATGTCTTTTAAGAAACACTAAGGAAATAAATTGAAATAGTATTGTGAGATACTGCAGATCTTGTCTCAAGTATATGTTTGGTAACTTCAGGAAAGAACTTGAAAGCCGAGTTGCTTTAAATGGACCTGAATTTCAAGATGCTTTGTCAAAAGAAGTGGCTAAAGAGGAGCAAAGGCATGAACAGCATGTCAAAGAATTTCAGGAGAAAATCAATATGTTAAACCAGAAGTATGCAGAGTTAGAAGATGAATTTTGTTTAGCTTTAACTACTGAAGCAAAAAGGTTTAAAGAGGTAAGACTAAGACAACACTTCATCTCAAACTAGATGGAGTTGTAGTTCTCTTAAATGTGTTGGGAGTTTTTTTGTTGGGTTTGGGTTTTTGTAGTTTTTTGTTTTGGTTTGGTTTTTTTGATCCTTAGGGTCTTCTGCTCCAAGGCTTTTGAGCAACCTGGTCTAGCAGAAGGTGTCCCTGCTCATGGTAGGGGGAGTTGGAACTAGGTGATCTTTAAGGTCCCTCCCAGCTCAGACTATTCTATGATTAATCTAAAAATACTGGTAGTAAGATTTGAAATATCAGTGATTAGAACATAAACACCAAATGCCCAGTCAGCATACAAAAAACCCAGCATTTTTGTTCATGCTTAAAAGTTAATCAAAAGAAATGAGAAAAAACTTCTATCTGATGGAATTAATTTCTTTTAAAAGATGTTGACCTTCTATTAGAATATATTCAGTTATTGTAAGAACTCTTGTGGTGTTTTGGTAAGGTTATGGTTAATATATACTAGTGTATTTAATAATAAAGTTCCTTATGGTTTAACTTTTCAAAATTTAATTTTGGATATGCATTTTGAAATTTAAATTCAAAGCCTGCATACTAAATTCCTTGGATAACACATAAAATAATGTGAACCCTAGCCATAGAAATAAGTGAAATAAAATCTTAAAAGCTTCACCCGTACTTGAATTTGGTTTTCTTCATTTTAAATCAATTAAATAAATGGGAGAAGGAGGGAAAGAAAAGACTGGGTGTTTTTCACCCTTCAGATATTTCCCTTGCAAGGAAAAAAAACAGAATTAATTTTAAGTTCTTCTTTCCAGATTTTAATATTAATCTTAACAATGAGATTAAAACAAGGCATTGTTTTGATTTCTCAGTCTGTGGTTTTTCTGCTCTGCTTCCATCTACCCATGATTTTTTTTTTTTTCAGTTTTTTGTTTTTGCGTGGGGGGTTGAGGTTTTTTTACATTGTTGCAGCTGAGGAGAACCAGTTTTTGAATTGAAGTATCACCAACAAACTGTTAGAAAACCAATTTCAGATATCCCCTAATTTGATGTACCATTGATGAACTTCTATTTATTCCTTTATTTGAAATTCTTATGTCATTTGTGTGTATGTACTTTTCCCGAATGTTAGGATTTTTCAAGTTGTCTTATCTTATAAAATTTTAGGTAAAAGAGGGTTTTGAAAATGTTGCTGCTGATCTAGTTGAACATAAACAAGCCCTCTTTGAGTGTGAACAAAAGGAAAAGGAAATGACAAGTCTGATCCAAGACCTGACAAGTATAGTGAGAGAACAGAAAGCAAAGATTGCAGAATTAACAAAGTCAAATGAAGAAGCTACGGCAAACTTAAAGGTACTTGTTTCAAATCACTTCAACTCCATGTATGAGTTTTTTTGATGTTTTATCTATAAAAGTAACAATTCCATACAAGGTAGACTGACTGAAAGATGTGTGTTTGCTGTTGCACTAAAACCTAGTACTCCACATCAGCCTTTATTCTTGCATCTTTCACTTCTGTTTCTCACAAACACTTTGCTCCCCATATAGCAAAATCTCGACTCATTCATGTCTTCAGAAGGGCACTCCTCACCTTGTGAGCTATAGCAGTTTGTGTCTAATCAAGTGGTAACTCTCAGATTTTAAAACCTGTATTAATAGCCCCAACCTTCTGTAAATTTAAAGTAATAAAATATGGTTCTGTAGTGGTCACCGTACATGAGATACAAATGAAATTGCACAAATAAGCTAATAACTACACTTGATTAATATCTCAGAGTTGCATAAAATCAGCAGTATTAATAGTTATCTGCTAATTGTCTAATATTAAATACTGTGGGCACAGTTGCTTGACCTGGACAGGCTGGAGAAATGGGCAGAA